TTTATACTTAAATTATATTCGATTTTCATCATATATATATATATATATATATATATGGTGGTGAAAAACGAAGCAGCATAACCATACAACTATTATCGGCGGAGGTGTAAAATGCAATGGTGAGTGATTCTCCAAGAATTGTTGACCTTCAACTGACGTCACTTAACAGGATGCGTATGCGCGATGCAAAATCGGTTCTTCAAAAATGACAATCGCAAACAACTCATAAAATATCTTCTAGAAGTCTTTTTTTTCCACTGGGGGAATAAATACTTGGATGGAATAAAATATTAATTCGCTTTGTTGATCGTAATTTAGAAGACTGATACTGTACCGAATTAATAACTAACATTTTACGAGTAAACAATTTATAAATTCTGCCCTGGGAACAAATATCCATAAAAAATGTAACAAACAATCCTATAGCTAATCCTCAGCAATTTGAATTTTTACAGTGACTTCCTAGTTTTTTTAAAAAAACAATGTAAGGCCAAGCAGAAATATTCTTCCAAACATCTTTATTAGTTTTTGAATGTGGATGCGAAGTTTCTCACCCACTTATGACTTGTGGTGACACATGAGTAAAAATTCCAAAGAAGACGTTTGTTTATAGAAATTGCAGTAAATTAATGGAAGACATGCGACCAACTAAAACATACAAGCTACTTTCTCTTTTCACGGTATGAGTTCGATCACTTTATCATTTCCTACCGAGTTTATTTGTAGTTATGGAAGCATAATTTATAAATTTGGGTATTTATAAACACAGAAATTCACGTTGATAGACGACTCTTTACTGAAAGTATAATTATAAAATTCCCATACAATATATGATCGAAAAAATGATATTAATTTAAAATCTAATGCCAAATACATTTCTTTTAGCAAATCATGTATACATATACAGATATATACATCAAATAGAAAGTTTAATATATTTTATTTAATCCTTGTTGGTTAATTCTTCAGGAATTGACGAACCGAATTAAAGGGAAGAGATCAGTGAAAAAAAGTTAGAGAAGTTTACTGACTTGTCGCTCGACATATTTCGCAGTCATGCTCATATCTGCATTGCCACGCCCACTTTTGCGCTATATCTGCTAACTCCTTATCCCAAGTCTGAAATCAAACAAAAACAAATATATTTACGACTGATTTAATTAAGGCGTTTCACCAATTAAACTTATTACAATTTTGGGAAACATTTGGTAGGAAAATAGAGATTTGACAAAATTATGAGTCATTTGTAACGGAAAGAATTAGTTCAAAAGAATGACAAGGCATGAAATAGACACTTCTAAAATATAATTTGAAGAGTAATTTATAATTATTACTATATTCTTTATTTTTCAGATAAATTCCTTATTCTAACTATTCCCACTTTTCACAACAATTACAGCAATAAATAAATAAAAAAAAATAAGTATTGTGTTTCTTCAATGAAATTAAATTTTTTTCTATGATTGTGCTGATTAAAAAGGTGACCTAGTTCTACTTTCATAAACATTCTTCAAACAATAAAATTCCTAAGACAATATCAAATAATAACAATAACATTGCTAAAACAATAATAAATGATAACAATAACATTCCTTAACCCCTTGACGTAGATTTGATCTTCTTTGATTGCACTGTAAACAACAACAACTATATATATATATAAACTGCTGTTTGTAGAAAATGCAACACCATGAAAGAATCATCAGAATCAAATGAAATTTAATGCAGAAACGACTTGTACTGATACAAATAAATGATGAAATTTTCAAAACAAAAGAAACAAATTAAGCGTCCGAAATCAGTATTTGGTGCAGCCACCACGCGCTGCAATAAGTGCTGCTATACGACGTGGCATGGAGTCAAACAGATGTTGAATATCTGCTTGAGGAAGAGAATTCCATATCGCTTGTATGCGCAACCAAAGTTCGTCTTTGGAAACTGCAGGACGCGGATCACGAGTGAGACGCCGACCAACCATATCCCACACGTGCTCAATAGGCGACATATCCGGCGAATAAGCAGGCCAAGGAAGAAGTTGCATGCGTTGTGCTGAACAGAAGTCTCTAACAGTCCGCGCAACATGTGGGCGTGCATTATCCTGCTGAAAGATAGCTCCAGGGATGCCTTGAAGGAAAGGAACGACTTCGGGCTGTAGCACTTCACGGACGTATCTGTTGCTATTGAGATTACCCTCAATTCGTATCAAATTGGATCGTCCATGATACGAAATCGCACCCCAGACCATAACTCCGGGTGTTCGACCACTATGTCGTTCAATAATACACTCAGGAAGGCAGCGTTGACCGGCATAACGTCTAACACGAACACGGCCATCATGGGTCCACAAATTGAAGCGTGATTCATCTGAAAAGACAACTTGGTGCCAATCAGCTCGCCAGTCTCTGTGCTCAAGAGCCCACTGCCGACGCAGCCGTCGATGATCCGCCGTGAGGGGAATCCTGTATAATGGCACCCTTGCACGCAATCCACGGCGCAGCAGACGACGACGAATTGACGAAGCCGACAATTGTACACCTGTAGCAGTAGACCAATGTGCTGCCAGCTGCCTGGAGGAAGCTGTGCGATCATTCACCGCCATGCGGAGCAGGTGTCGATCATCGCGCTCTGACGTCACCTTCTGTCGTCCAGTGCCTGTTTTTCGAGTTGTTCGGTGCTCGTCGGTCCACTGCTTCCAAACTCGCATCACTGTGGAACTGTTCCGCTGCATACGAGCTGCTATTGCGCGATAGGAAAATCCTCCTTCTCGAAGGCCGATTATCCTCCCTCGTTCAAACTCCGTAAGTTGCTTGAATTTCTTATTCTTCCGTCGTGGAGGCATACTCAGGTCTCACTAAACGTTTGCCACTAACAAATAATCATAGACTATTTTCAACGTCCCGCTACAGCACTTTATTTATACGCTTTCAGCATCAATTCAGAGGGCGCTGCGCGCGCCACGCACGCGCGATGGCTCTGAAACTTTATTAATTTGCATAATATCCTATATCCATTATTAAAATAATATTTCATTTGATTCTGATGATTCCTTCATGGTGTTGCATTTTCTACAAACAGCAGTTTATATATATTCTTCGAGAAGCCAAAAAATTATAATACAGCTAATTTTAACTAGATGTTTAATTTTGAAAATTACAAAAAAGATATAAAATTCAGACCAATAGCTTCTCACTTTACATCAGACGCCTCATATTACAATCATCAGAATAAATAAAAGCTTAAACAAATTTCTTAATCATAAATCCACCTGTAACATCAGCTTTAACAACTACAATACTGAAGGTTTTATTAAGCGTTTTCCCACGCTGACTTCAATCAGCATCTCAAACTCAAGTCACACATAGTTTAGAGCAAGCTGATCCGTTTTGTTTTCATTATTATTGTTTATTCAAGTGCTTGAATCTTCCTGACAGTAACCGCATTGCCTGCTAGACAATAGTTAAATACAATTTCAACAAATACATGTTAAATATCTCTATAATTATAATGTACCATTTGCAGCATGTTCGAAGCTGAAGGTAGACCTCCTCCTCTTGTCTCGGATCCCATGGCGATGGTGCTTCTAAACTGATTGTGAACGTTGACTATTTCATCCATTTCGGCCTGCTTATCTGTCATGGCGTACTCAATGTAAGAGCACTGAAGATTGTAGGACAAACAGGCAGAATGATCCTTAGAGAAGGATTTGTAGTTATCATCACATTCCTGTGTCACAACAATCAGAGAGCGAATGCAAAGAATTACAAGCGTGGTGATTGTTTTCTTCAGCATCGTATAGGAAGGATCTAAAAAAAAAAATCCAACCTGAGAAAACTTGCTCTTCGTTGAAATTGTCAGCATGATTTGTCTTAGATCTTTCCTTCGCTGGAGAAAATGTTCTGTTTTAGTTGAATGTATTTAAATTTTTGTTTGGGAGTTTTTCCGTTTGATGGCAGGACTAAATTATTGTTAAATTGCAAATTCCAGTTTTTAAACAAATATCGCATTAGCAACTCCAACTGCTGGCATTACACTCTAAATAAATAAAATATTTTTCAACTATGCAGTGCTTAAAAATTTAAAAAATCCTAACTGCTACGGATTTTCGGTAGTTTCAGAAGAAAAAAATTTCTTAGTGGTAGCAAGGGTGATTATTTTAATTAATTAGAATTAAAGGAATTTTGTTCACCATTGAATAGAAGTCATTTAAACAGATAGATATGAAGAAATATTGATTAAAGCTTAAGTTCACCCCCACTGCTTGCTAATTCAACGATCAACCTCAAACTGTGTAACATTTTATGATGATTTGGTTAGGGCCTTTTCCCTGCTCAGGTGCCCAGCTAAAACAACATACAAAAGCTTAAATTCCAATATTTTTTTCTTTTAGTTTGCTTAAAAAAATTCTGCTTCTGCTAAAATATTAATTTTCAACTGCCTCAAATAGTTTGAGTTTCTGTAATAATGATTTCTGAAAAAGAATGGAACGCTTTGAAGCAAATAGCTTTGCACACGCGCACAATTCCAGTGAATTCGAATATTTTTTAAATTAGTGGTACAAGACATAGCATGAATCGTTGGGGAAGGTTAGAACCTCTATATTATCTTTCTCATTTTAGTTCCTTATTTTTAATTAAAAGAATAATAATTTGCTGCTTTTTACAAAGTAAATTTGTTAAGGGAAGTGATTAATGAATGTTTGAGATATAAAAGACACAAAAGCAACTTGAACAAAGCACAGAAAAAGATACATAAATAAGCATCTTATATTGTTTCGATAAAAACATCCTACAAAAACAAGAATATTTTCATTTTATGAAACAAGACTTTCAAACAAGACAACAAGACAAACAAGAATATTTTCTTTGAAAGAGGAAAATTATAACATAATAATAATGCTAATAACATTAACACTTGGGAACTATTATTTTTATTACAGAGATTGAGAGGACTATATATCAGTAATCAGTTTTGTTCATAAAGTTACAAATTGCATTTAAAAGGACATTTTTAGTCTATTTTTTGTTTAATTGTTTAAATTTGAAAACATTTTGTGTAACAGGGATCCAAACAAATGTTGCGGCAAACTTCTAGGTAAGTTTATTGCACATTGTCAAGATTAAAATTACGTAAGACGTAAAATTGCACTGGCGTACGTGTGTAGGGCTCTTTTCTTATTCAGAAGAATACACAAGGACACAGCATTCGACAAAAATGCAGAAAATGCTGACTGATGAAATTTAAAATTTTATTTAAAAAAATTTTAATTACTGACTTCTCATTACTTTTTTTTAATTTGCTATTGGAAGTTGTTTTAAATATGAATAATTTGAAAGTAGAATTTATGATTGAATAATTAAGGAGAAAATAAATAAAAGTTATTTCAGCTTTTACCAAGTTTTTCATTTTTAGTCACCTGTGGAATCCCTGCACATGAAGAAATAGTTCATGGCAAGAAAGCGCCCCACCCGGGTTATCAAGCGATATTAATCTTGATGATGTGCCCTAACTGCCCTGGAAATTTGTAGTAACATTCATACCACCTTCAGCCGCATATTACGTTTCTAAATTAGTGCATTTCTAAATTAGTATGAAAAAGAGACGTTTCTAAATTAGTACCAAAAAAAAAACTAAGAAATTGTGTCTTAAAAAACTATCTTAGAGAGAGCATATTTGAAATCAGCGATATTAAAATATCAAAGTTCTGTAAAAGAAATCCCATTAAACAGAAAGCAAAAAGGAAAAAAAAATGCCATCCAGTGTCATATATACCATCTTGAAACTTGGCTACGAATTACGTGACCAAGGTCCAAAATCTATGAAAATATTTTTCAGATTATGATTATTAATTTATGATTATTAGTAATGATTATTAGTTATTATTATAAATTTATTAGTTTTTGGCTGCCATTAAAATTTTGTCTACACTTATTTTACTGAAAATTAATGTCGTTAAAAACGCAATAAAGACTATCAAAATTAATCTCTGCTAAATTGCTGAATACCTTATACCATATTTATGTGTGAAATGAAAGAAAAATTAGTCGAAACATTAGTATTGTGAGACATTAACTGTAAAAAAGTTGACTAAATATTACCTTTATTGGTTAAATGCAAAATTCTGAGCACAATATAAACAAATACAATAAAAGTTGAGGTTATCTTTTTAATGCGTGATCTACTTTGCACATTATTCTGCTTGCTATAACCAAAATAATGGAACTACCAGTAAGTAAATCATTTTTATTTTCATTCTTCCTTAATAGAATGCGCTCACATTTTCGAAAACATTCACTGTTACTTTTCAATGAGAACATTTTTACTTCGAAGGTTGCTGACGTACAGTTACTTTAACTTTGACTCCTTTTTATTGAAAAAAAAGTCAATGGAGATGTCTTAGCAGCCGTTACTTAACTTACCTGTCCAATGGAAAAACATCAATCAAGAATGCATTACAGATAGCAACCAATAGGAACACGTTTATAATATTATGTGATGTGAGTATGAATCGTCCAAAAGAAATGGTGCAAACGATAATTGATTCATTTATTCCGCTCAGTGATATAGTTCAGCCTCTGATTTGTAAGCTCCATTACGTAAAGATGAAACTCGGAGTTTTAAACAGTTTTAAAATACAGAGAAATACATAAACATATACATAACCTCCACCATTTGATATTTCATTTGAGATTCCAACGGTAGTTTACAATGCACCAAAAAATTATCACCCTGAATATGATCTAATGATGGTGTTTCGATTGGCAAGTTTTTGAATTAATATCAAAATTAGCTCACCTGAGATTTCTTGCTGCTATAAAAAATAATGTTAATTATCTGAAAAATAGGAATTCGATTTATATACCAAGAAATGGGACAATAACGTATGCTATTTTCATTTGATTTATTTTGATTTTTAAAAATGATTCCCATTACAGGAATAACATCGCTAGCCTCGATTTCAATGGCAAGCCAAACATAAACAGAATACTTTTTTAATGTTATTAATAAAAGTTAAAGTTTTTCATTGAAATTGAAAACAGCGCCATCTATCTACGAAATGTTTTATGAACTAAACAGATGGTATTTCCGCGTTGTAAAATTTGTTGTACACTTCAAAGAACTTGATAATTTCTTAAAATTTGAAATATTTTTTTTGAAATTTTGTATAACAGTTGTTTTTAACAATATAAATGTATTCTGAAAATTTCAAGCAAATCCCTTGATAATTCCAAAAAAAAAATTTGAAAGTCCCTTGTCGCCAAGGAGTAATCTTAAAGAATATGTAACGAAAAGAAGGAGAAAAAATATATATAAAACATAAAAATCTTTGTATAAAATGTAAGAATTGACATGTGGAATATAAATACTAATCTATATATATCAAAATTAATTTATACATCCTTCAGGACTGGCCAAGGAAAAAAGAATCGCTTCACAAGGTACGCACGCTCCTAGAGTAGAAGTACTTAGTGGTACGTATAACGAAATAGTACGAGATATAATATGAAAACTCCGCATTGAGATCATACTCGTACGATTATGGGCCGCTATACCCTTTGGACCAGGCTTCTGGTATACTGGAAATGTAAATTTAATTCATATTAACTTAATTAATAATTACCAGTATCCCAGAAATTTTGTTTCATTTGATGAAGACGCTAATACTTTCTAAAGGGAATTTAGTGAAGCTATAAGGCATAATCTAAATGAAGGGAATATTGGGAATATCTTAAGCTATAGAGCATATTCCAAATGAAAGGAATATCTTGAAATTATAAAAATTCTCCGACAGAAGAGCCAAAAATCAAAAGAGTTCGTTCATTTTTGATATCATGGCCCTCGAAATGAGAACCACGGAATCACGTATATGTGATCATATTCTTGAAAGGGTTAAATATACGTATTTCCATACAAACCAATGCATTTTCATCTTCCAGTGAAAGAAGTATGATAGATGTCACTTCTTGTGGGACCATCTAACAATAAGAAAGAGAAACGAATTTGCACATGAAACTTACGTGTGAAAATTGTAAGTTGCTCGGGTCAAGCCTCATTCTTTCTAAAAGAGCCTTCTGGAATTGGTCAATTTCCGCATACCACTGAGATATCACTGCTGTCCATTCGTGTGGAAGTTCGCAATTGCCAACACAGGAATATTCTCTCAGAGCCATATTCTGAGCTACGGGGTAGCTTCCTGAAACAAATTTGGTCTCATGATAATTTGCTAATCATGTTACGGAGATTCAACTCTTTTTGTACCTCTTTTATCTAATGTTACGATTTTTTAAACGGATTTTGCTCTCACGTAGAGATAATCAAAACCATGTATCAAAATTCTGCCCAAAATCTGTAAGGAACCTAGATGTTTCCCATATATATATATATAAAGTTTTTAGAATTTTTATTTGCTGCCAAAAAAAAGATTTAACACAAATACAAATGTAAAAAATTAAATCAAAATCAATCAATATTCTACAGCGTCTGTGATTTCTTTTTCCTCCCTTTACAAACGTCGTTGAGAAACTATGATATAATAGAATGATATGAAAAAAATGAAATAAGAGCCAAAAGTAAAGATAAATAACAAAATATGGTAACCCAAATACATGCAACCGTTCAGGCAATTAAGCAACCCTATCGGCAACTCCGAACGGAGGAATTGCGTTTAGAGTTGCACTTACACTTGCAGTTACACTTACTGTTGCACTTATTTTTCTCTCGTGTGATGGAGGCATTAGGTTTTT